GTAGGGGCCCGGTGGGGGCAGGGGCAGGGGTCGTGAACGGCTCGAGCAGCGGGAACTGTAGCCCAGGCGCCGACGCAGGGTCGGACTCCGGGGGGCGCTCGGGCGCTGGTGGCTCCTTGTCGAGGGCGGGGGGTGGCGGCGGGGCTGGGCTCTGCGCATGCTCGGCGCAAACATGCAGGTGCTTGAAGAGGGAGCGGTGCGTGCGGAAGCGCAGGAGGCAGTTCTCACACCTGGGGGCGGCACAGGGCTGGGCTGGGTCTCCTGGGGGACAAGGGAGGGGCCTATCCGTAGTAACCTGAGGAGCCGCCTCTCGAGGGTGGTTAGGGAGCCTGGGCCCAAACAACAGATCTCCCATCTGCGGGGGAGGAATCTGCCCTAAGCGTCCCCCTACTGTGGTCGCGACCCTTCCGGACCCCTCCAGGTCGGAGCCCTGGGAAGATGAGGAAGGAAGTCTCAATTGTGACTGAGGTGATCGCTTTTCCTCTTGGGAGGTAGAGGGCTGGGCGGAGCCGCGCCAAGTATGTCCCCCCGCCAAACCCCTTCCGAGCCCCGCCCTCGGGGTCCCCGGAAATTGCTCTAGCGACCAGTGTCTCTTCTGGGCAGGTTAAGGGCAAGGCTTGCCCTAGTTCACGCCCACTTCCCCGATCCAACCCCCTGGACTAGGAAGGGAGAAAAGCCCGGACCCCCGGTAGTGGCTGTCAAATCAGTTGGGGCCGGGGGAGCTGCCTGGTCACCGAGCGCCAGCGGAGGTGGGGGTGGACGGGGTCTCACTTGAAGTAGCGATTGGGTTTGTAGTGCAGCTTGCCGTGTGCCACCAGTTCCTGCATGTTGGGGAAAGTCTCGGTGCAGCTCAGGGCGGAACAGCGGAAGAGCTTGCCTGGCAGGGCGGGGATGAAGGACAGAGGAGTGGAGAGGGGTGGCCAGTCGGCTCTGCCTGCCTCCCGCCCTAACCTGCCTCCCCACCACCTACCCTGGCCCTACCTTCCAGGGACTGTGTAGGTGGGCAGTGGGTACGCAGATGCTGTGCCAGGTCTCGAACGCTGGGGAAACTGAGGCAGCAGCCAGGGCTGGAGCAGGGTATCTGCTTCCCTGCAGGACGCACAGAAGCAGGGGGAGGGGGGGTGTCACCGTCCCTTCTCCATCCACGCTGTCCAGGGCTCTATCCCAGAGAGGCATGTATGGGGTTGCAATTACCCTATGGTCTCTTACTGGGACCTTCACCCTCTGCCTCCCCCAACAGAGGGTTGGGGCTGAGTTGGCCTGGCTCACAGCCTGGCATACACCTGGGGCTCAGTAAGTGGTGATTCCCTCTAGATGGGCCCCAAGTCTGGAGATACTCTGTATTCTTCATTTCTATCGTTCCAGGCCTGTGATCCCCCAGAAGGCCCCATCACGGGTCACCTGGTGGTGGGCGTCGTCTGGGAGGCCGCAGGTCCTCACTGGTTCCGGAGACAGTGCTGGTCAGGCCAAGGCCGGGTCCAGGGCCAGCATGGCCACTGTCTGGGGCTGGGGAGGCACCCTGCTGGGTCCCTCCAAGCCCTCCAAGTTCCCACACTGGGGGTGTGGCTGCCTGGTCAGAGCCTGGCTCCTCCCCCATGGAAGAGGAAGTGGCTACAGCAGCCACAACTGGGGACACCTCCTTGTCGGTCTCACTGGAGCTGGGCTCTGCAGTGCCCGGCATATCCGGGCTGGGACCCGAGGTTTCCTCCTCCTGGTGGAAGGAAGAGGTGGGGAGAACCCCTCTGGGCCCAGGGTCTGCCTGGACCACCCAGGGGTACTCCTCCACCCCGCCAAGACCACTGGGCATTCCTGAAGCAGCAAATGCCCCGGAGACGTCACCCAGTCAGCCCCCATCCTAAGGAGTGGCAGGGGGTGAGGGTGGATTGAGCTCCTGCCTCCTGTGTCCCCATCCTCTGGGAGGGAGCTTGGAGGTGTTCCAAATGTAGAAGAGGGTACCTTTCTAAGAATCACCTATATGAAAGAAGCATGCCTTTGACCCTAACTTGGAAAGGGAGGAGACCCCCTACAAGGCAGGGGCGTGGCCCATAGGGAGTGGGCGGGGCAAAGGCGGGGCTCTGAACCGGGCGCGGATAGGAAGATGCTGGAGGGGCCAAAAGTGGCCTAGTGGGTTGTTCGAGGACGGAGATATATCTACCAGCCGGGCTCGAGCTGTGCAGGCGAACTGGAAGTGCTGGGGCCCAGGCCGTTTGAAGATCTGGGGCGGTGCCCGAGCCCTGTGGGCGTGGCCCAGTCGAAACCAGGCCCGGAAGTAGGGGGTAGGGTGCTCCCCGAGTGACAGCCAGCGGCGGGCGAGTGCCCAGATGTGGCGGATGTGGGGGCGGGGTCGGCCGGAGGCTATGTGCGCTACAGGGCCGCTCCCCGCCAGTCCCCGCTGGTTCGCCGCGTCCGCGTCCCCGGCGCCGCGCTCACCATCCTCGGCCTGGTTCGGCCTCTTGTTCCCGCGGCTCCGGCGGCTCCCGCTAAGGCTGCGGTGACTCCTTTGGTGGCCGCAGGCTCCCGCTCACGTCGGCGCCATTTCTCGTCTCCCAGCTCTCGCGAGAACGGAGGAGGGGGCCTATGCACAGTGCTCCGCGAGGAGGCGGGGCCTGAGATCCGGGATTGTCCTGGACGGCGGAGCGTGCGCCGTTGCGGATTTGCAAGCCGAGGGCAGTCATAGGGTGCAAAGGATCTGCAGGCAGAGATCTAGGATTAAAATCTTCCCGGGCCTCTGTGTTGTCCTCTGCAAAATGAGCATCTTCATCCTCTCCAGTCCCGTCACCATACCTCGAAAGGGGATAAACGGCGGTTCTATTTTTTGAAGAGGTCGTGTTTAGAGGGCCTCCTCTTTGGAGGGAAATTGGCAGTGGCCGTCAAAATTTTCAATGCACTTAGTTCTGACGTTGGAACGGGTCTGCTGAGATAGCCAAGGGCAGGAAGCAAGCCCAACTGTCCGTCCTCGGGACACCCGGAACGGGTGTAGCCTAAGGATGGAGAGGTGCGTGTTTTCAGGAGGATGAATGGAGAGCCTTGGGTATACCGGCGTGGAATGAGTCACCTAGCCAACCTACGTTTCTTTCTTTCTTTCTTTCTTTTTTAATACAGCCTCACTAAATCTCACTACATCTCAGAAAGTCACTCTAGAATTTAACACTACTGTTTTTTGTTTTTATTTATTTATTTTTGGCTGTGTTGGGTCTTCGTTGCTGCGCGTCAACCTACGTTTCTTGAGTGCCTACTCTGTGCTAGGCGCTGGGGACCCAGAGATGAACAGGACAGACCAACATCCCCACTCCCAGAGTCAGCTCACAGTTTAAAATGGGGAAACACAATGAATCAACACATGCAACAAACGATCTTACGTTATATTAAGTGCTACAAAGGAAAAACAAAACAAAACAAAACCCCAGAAGGATGCGATGGTGATGGGTCAGGAAAGTTTCTCTGTGAGGTGACTTCTTTTTTTTTTTTTGCGGTACACGGGCCTCTCAGCGTTGTGGCCTCTCCCGTTGCGGAGCACAGGCTCCAGACACACAGGCTCAGCAGCCATGGCTCACGGGCCCAGCCGCTCCGCAGCACGTGGGATCTTCCCGGACCGGGGCACGAACCTGTGTCCCCTCAGCCAGCGGCGGGCGAGTGCCCAGATGTGGCGGATGTGGGGGCGGGGTCGGCCGGAGGCTATGTGCGCTACAGGGCCGCTCCCCGCCAGTCCCCGCTGGTTCGCCGCGTCCGCGTCCCCGGCGCCGCGCTCACCATCCTCGGCCTGGTTCGGCCTCTTGTTCCCGCGGCTCCGGCGGCTCCAGCTAAGGCTGCGGTGACTCCTTTGGTGGCCGCAGGCTCCCGCTCACGTCGGCGCCATTTCTCGTCTCCCAGCTCTCGCGAGAACGGAGGAGGGGGCCTATGCACAGTGCTCCGCGAGGAGGCGGGGCCTGAGATCCGGGATTGTCCTGGACGGCGGAGCGTGCGCCGTTGCGGATTTGCAAGCCGAGGGCAGTCATAGGGTGCAAAGGATCTGCAGGCAGAGATCTAGGATTAAAATCTTCCCGGGCCTCTGTGTTGTCCTCTGCAAAATGAGCATCTTCATCCTCTCCAGTCCCGTCACCATACCTCGAAAGGGGATAAACGGCGGTTCTATTTTTTGAAGAGGTCGTGTTTAGAGGGCCTCCTCTTTGGAGGGAAATTGGCAGTGGCCGTCAAAATTTTCAATGCACTTAGTTCTGACGTTGGAACGGGTCTGCTGAGATAGCCAAGGGCAGGAAGCAAGCCCAACTGTCCGTCCTCGGGACACCCGGAACGGGTGTAGCCTAAGGATGGAGAGGTGCGTGTTTTCAGGAGGATGAATGGAGAGGTGATTGTTTTCAGGAGGATGAATGGAGAGCCTTGGGTATACCGGCGTGGAATGAGTCACCTAGCCAACCTACGTTTCTTTCTTTCTTTCTTTCTTTTTTAATACAGCCTCACTAAATCTCACTACATCTCAGAAAGTCACTCTAGAATTTAACACTACTGTTTTTTGTTTTTATTTATTTATTTTTGGCTGTGTTGGGTCTTCGTTGCTGCGCGTCAACCTACGTTTCTTGAGTGCCTACTCTGTGCTAGGCGCTGGGGACCCAGAGATGAACAGGACAGACCAACATCCCCACTCCCAGAGTCAGCTCACAGTTTAAAATGGGGAAACACAATGAATCAACACATGCAACAAACGATCTTACGTTATATTAAGTGCTACAAAGGAAAAACAAAACAAAACAAAACCCCAGAAGGATGCGATGGTGATGGGTCAGGAAAGTTTCTCTGTGAGGTGACTTCTTTTTTTTTTTTTGCGGTACACGGGCCTCTCAGCGTTGTGGCCTCTCCCGTTGCGGAGCACAGGCTCCAGACACACAGGCTCAGCAGCCATGGCTCACGGGCCCAGCCGCTCCGCAGCACGTGGGATCTTCCCGGACCGGGGCACGAACCTGTGTCCCCTGCATCGGCAGGCGGACTCTCAACCACTGTGCCACCAGAGACGCCCTGTGAGGTGACTTCTGAGCTGTCACCTGATGGTCAGGAAGGAGTGAGCCAATGGAAGGTCAGGAGGCCACAGCACTCTGGGAAGAATGGACAGCTGGTGCAAGTGGCCTGAGTTGCGGAGGGACAAGCTTGTCTTTTTCAAGAAACAATGAGGTGATCAGCTCACTGCTGGAGCAGAGTGGAGGCAGGGAGTGGAGGTCAGAAAGAGGACATGGTGCAAGAAAGGTCATGCAGGGACCTTGTGAACCATGGAAAGAGAGGCATGTGATCTCTATTCTAACCTTGAATCTTTAGCAGGGGGAGGTACACCATCTGATCGCCGGTTGTTGTTTGGAGGATGGGTCATTGTGGGGACGGTAAAGTGGATCTTTGATCTCAGATCTCTATAATACATTATTTAACCATTCAGGAAGTATTTCTTGAGTTCTAGGCAAGTGCAGGCTTTACATACGGTGTATTTCCATCTATATATACATAAGATGTACCTATCTGCTTTTATACGCTAAGAATACCACTGAAAGGAGACGGACATTAACAAATTGGGGGGGACAGGAATTTTCGAGTGAGGGGAAGACAGATTTTTCACACTCTTGGGCTGTTTGAATTTTTTTTTTGGCTGCACCATGCAGCTTGTGCGTTGCGGCCAAAAAAATCCCTTGTGTCTTAGTTCCCCGACCAGGGATCGAACCCGGGCTCACCACAGTGAAAGCGTGGAGTTCTAACCACTGGACGGCCAGGGAATTCCCATGGGCTGTTTGAATTTTAAAAAACTGTTTTCTTTTGATTATCATTAATACAGCTAAAACTCATTAACTGTATTAAAAACTCCTTAATTAAAAAAACATCATTTTGATGCAGGGTGGAGGGGTGTGTGTGTGTGTGTGTGTGTGTGTGTGTGTGTGCAGGGGAGGTTGGTGCAATCTGGGGAAGGGTGAGGCGAGGTCCCAGAAAGGACAGGGAACCAAGAAAGAGAGAGGAGGGGCCCAACTTAAGAAATTTTGTAAAAGAGTCAACAGGATGTTGCTGAGTGGGGGGGACCAAGCTGACTCTGAGGTTTGCAGTCCGAAGATGCTATAACCTAGATGTGAGATGCTGTCTGTTAGAAGATGTCAAAACCACTCCCTTCTTCATCCCCAGTGCCTCGCCCAAACCTCACCCATCAGTCTTGCCTGGAAGGCCCCACTTCCTGCAAACAGGGTGCCTGATGTGGCAGTGGGCCCACAGGGCTGTACCCCAAAGTGCCAGGATGGGGGGCAGCCTGTATGATGAACTCTAGGGCAGAGAAGGGAGACAGAGGCCCTCATTCCCCTTCAGCACCAGGAAATGCCCAGCTGATGAGGTTGTGGCTCATACAGTCCTCCACTCTGTCCCCCAATCTAAGTCTTGCAGAGAGACACTCACAGTGGTGACTGGGCAGTGGAGGGGCAAAAATCAGAGATGCAGAGAACCAGGGACATTCAAGCGACTAGTTAAATGGTTTTGTATAGTGATTGGCTAATAAAAGGCTGTCGAGACCCAGTTGCAAAATTGGGATTTTTTTCCCCAGCCACGCTCAGCTTCCCAGGTAGGTGTAGATTCTACAGAAGGCTCTGCTGACCAGTCTTTCTTTGATACCTCATCTCCCATCCCCCAGGTGGGTAGGTGTCCTCTGCCTGGAGTCCTCCCATCACAGCATAGATCACTCGGTGTGGTATTTGCCATCAAGGTCTGCTGACCCAGGGCTTCCCTGGTGGCGCAGCAGTTAAGAATCTGCCTGTTAATGCAGGGGACATGGGTTCCCAGCCCTGGTCGGGGAAGGTCCCACATGCCGTGGAGCAGCTAAGCCCGTGCGCCACAAGTACTGCAGCCCGCGTGCCTAGAGCCCGTGCTCCACGACAGGAGAAGCCACCGCCATGAGAAGCCCACGCACTGCAACAAAGAGTAGCCCCTGCTCACCGCAGCTAGAGAAAGCCCGCGCACAGCAACAAAGACCCAATGCAGCCAAAAAATATATGTAAATAAATAAAAATAAAATAAAAAAAAAAAAGGTCTGCTGACCCTTTTCATCCTTCTTGGCTCCTCTGGCAATGTCCATACTCTCTCTGCATCTCCCTCCCCTGCTCCAAGCCCTGTCCCTTCTCTGGCACAGTCCTGACCCCACCCATCTGGCTCCATTTCTCCCAGACTGACTGCTCTTTGTGGGGCTGAGCACAGAGCGGTTGTTCATTTGGAAAGGTCTGAAAGGCTCAGACTCCGGCACTGGTTTGGAGACAGCTGTGGGGACCAAGAGACAGCTGGAGGGGACTGGTAGCTAGGCTGACCCCCTCTTCACCATGACAATAAGTGCAGAAGGCCAGGGCCCTCGAATGTCAGAACTGGTCCTGAAGCCAGGTGAGTGAGGGCTAAGAAAACACAGACATGGGGTGGGGGTCAGGGTTCAGGGGTGATTCAGGGTGAATTATGGGGGGCCATGTGGGACCTGCCTCCTTTGTCAGGATCCAGTAGGGTCCCAGTTTGTTTGGCAGGGGGTGCAGAGTCAAAGCTGACAGGACCCACTGGAACATTTGCTGCAGGAAAGCTGGCATGCAGCTTCTGGAAGCTAGCAGGTGAGACAAACTCAAGCTTTGTGAGGGGCAGAAGCATATCTGAGTTCAAGACTTGGCTCTGTGCAATCTTGGGTGAGTGACTAAACCTCTCTGAGCCTCCATTTTTCCATCTGTAAAATGGGATATTCACTGCTACCACCCCACAGGGTTGTGAGAAGGTGGTCCTTGTTGGGGCTCAGTAAGTTAACTCATGTTTTCACTCAGCAAACATTTATTGCCTCAGTGGTGAGAAAAGGAGGGAAGTCAAGCTTGTCAAGGTCCCCCCGACTGTGCCTGGCACTTTGCCTGCAGGACACAACTCACTTCCTACTCACAAGGCAGCTGGGAGGTAGGTTCTGCTGTTAGCCCTGTTTGACACAGGAGGAAACAGGTGTGCCTTGGGGGAAGCCAGGGCCCAGAGGTGGCTTAAGTGGTGAGCCCTAGACCCAGGACCTGGGCTAGGCTGGGCTGGAGGCCACAGGACTGGACCTTCTGGCCAATGCAGCCAAGGGAAATGAGACCTGCATTGCAGGGCCTGGCTTCTGGCAGGATCCAGGCAGGCAGGTGGGATGGCAGGATCCCAGGCCCCTGTCCTGCTCATATCTTCTCCACGTAGTTTCCTGGGAACAGGCCCTCCTGGCCATGCAGCCGGCCTTTCCACCAGCCTGAGGAATCTGTGGGAGAGAAGAGAGCGTGAGGCTGAGCCCAGCCCACTCCGGAGAAAGCCTTTCATGCTGGCTCTGTGCCTGTCTTTCTGTCATTCGTCTGCACTGGCCTGGCATAAGGCAGAAGCTGAAAAGAGAAGACAGAAGGGCAATTCCCCAGAGGTCCAGTGGTTAGGACTCTGCGGTCTAACTGCCGAGGGCCTGGTTTTGATCCCTGGTCCGGGAACTAACATCCCACGAGCCGAGCGGTGCGGCAAAGAAAAGAAAAAACATGTCTTTTAGGGGACTTCCAAAAAAAAGAGAAGACAGAAGGAAGGGAGGGAGCAACGCGTGGGTTTTCCTTGTCACTGGCTCACACTCTGACATTTTCTAGACCATTCACTTGTGCTCGTCCCTCATCCATCTCCTCCTATAGGTCCCTCCCCATAATCCCCTTGGTGGAACCAGGAATGACCCCTAAGGGTTCCCCTACCCACCTGCAGAGGGTGCTGTTGAGTCCCAGGCTCCTCTAGGGGCAACCCAGGGGCAAGGTAGGAGGTCTGGAGGCCTGGGCCATCCAGACATGGCCCATTTCCTACTCACAAGGTAGGTTCTGCTATTAGTCCTAGTGCTTGACA